TGGGTTTCCTCGCCTCCTGGGAAAGTCGCAAACCGTGTCGGAATTGGTTTTGAAATGTCGCCCGTGTGTCGAAGCCAGAGATCTGGCCCCGTTTCAGGATTGCGTGGAAATTTTATCACTGACGAACGCGATGGAAATCAATGAGTGCTTTGAAATCACGGAAAAGGGGCTCACGGAGATCAAATGCCTCATATATTTCTAGTCCATAGGGTTAAAAGAGACAAGAGATCTCATACAGGCTCGAGTTCTTGCCAAAAGCAGCGTAGTCCTGCGCCAACAACAAGTTTAGTGTCCATTTCCTGCTGGCATCACGTGTTAGTAGAGCTCGTTGAATCTTGGCGCCAACACCTCAGCATTCATAAAGGGTCTGCCGAAGCTTAAGATCGAAGGATGGATAGGGAATTGTTGGAGACGCGTCAGAGGGAAGCTGGTGCATCTTTGATGCAAGGGGAGGAGACAATAGTAGTAGATGCGGCACCAACACGTCCTAACGCGTCCAAAGCCGGACGCGTACTGTATACAGGCCAGCTACGCGCTTTGATCAAGGAATAAATCAACCAACCAACACCACCACCGCACAAGCAGCTAAGTCGAATGACGCGGAAGGAAGTCTGAGGCTCATCCTAGAACTGCTGCGAACTCAATCACGAACAATTGAAGAACAGGGCGCCGCAAGTATGAAGAGAAGCTGGAGGAGCTCGGGAGGAAGTATGAAGCACAGACCTCAGCGATCAACGATCGACTTGACGCCCTCACCGAACGACTGAACCTCCGATATTATGAGGGTCAACACTCGAGAAAACGCTCCCGATGTCTGCTACCTATAGAATGCCAATAGCGGAGGAAGACCTCAGGCCTGTTGTGCAGGACTGCTACACGTCATTTTATGGCATATCACAGGATGGACAACATTCTGAAGCTCACGGCTGGAGATGAAGGATTGAGTCGGTGGACGCTGTAGGATGCGCCTAGAATAATGCTAGTGCCTTATAGGCTTGGCAGCCTGCACGGGTGTAAAATCAATCAATCAATCAACCTCAGCATTCTCTCACAGGCCTAATCCTAGAACCCTAATGTCAATCGCCCCGAGCTCGTTCTTCAGCACATCGTCTATGTCCTGTCGGTATTCGGATGAGTCGGCGATGCTGCCAGTACTATGTATGCGCGAAAGATAAACCTCCTCCGGCGCTTGGCTGAGGCTCAACCGACTGTCGTTACAGTATTATTTGTCTTCCTCAGAATATAGAGAGTATAAATACACTCGGCCTTGCGCTTCTTCCGAGGATGGAAAGCGTGCCAAAAACAATTCAAGAATAGACCCGCGTCGACCCTCGTTTGTCCCTTACCGCCAGGACGACTTCATCGACACTATGCTCGACTCAGAGACGTCTTTATTCCCACGACCTGGGCTTCGCGGGAGTTGGAGGTCGCACGAATCCAGGAGGTCCAAAGATGAGGGATTCGCGACGGCTTGGAAACCAAGCGTGAGGAATGGCGAGAGAGCTCAGCGTGTCCGTCACGCATACTGTAGAGTATCCCCTACGTCTTCTGGCTGTTCCACAGTCGTTGGACCTGACCTGCCGCCCAAAATCCGCAAACAGTTCTTCCAATTGGTGTACCTCGAAGTTTCGACCGAAGTGGGCCTCTGCTGTGGGGTCGACCCGATTTCAGGGTGCCACGCGAAACAGATCATTTCGCCGTGATTCGCCAGTTTCGTCAGACTCGCAATTGATGAGCATTCCTCCGACCCACCATCGCCAGGGTGTCCATCAAGGACACCGCCTCAATCAAGACCGCGTATAAAATGCAGGACAAGTTCATCGGCCGACGCCGGAACCGACGAAGTGCAAATGAACCATGCTCGATCAACTGCCGTGGGAGTTGAGGATGATGATATATAGATTGGTGCTGGTCCGGGACACCCCAATATCCCTCGCCATCTCTCGGGGTCGCCTCGCCTCTCTTCTCCAGACCTGCCGACTCTTTCAGCGGGAAGCGCGGCCGATGTTCTACGAGGAGAACCGCTTTTGCTATCGATGGCCTCGTTCAAAGACGCTGGTCGACCGCCCGGTTGCGGTGTTCTCTCGTCTCCCACTTCTACGAAACTTCCTCCTTGATTTCGACCTCCGAGGTCAGAGACACGTCGATCAGATCTTGAATTCGACCAGGATCACGAAGAAGCTGGACGGTTGGCTGGGAAGCTTGCTAACCACCTCTCACAACCTCATCTCTCTGACGGTACAGCTTACAATCTCTCACCGTTGCGCGCCGCATACAACGCAGACTGAAGAGATCCTGTGCACCAGCTTTCGGCGCGAATGTATGGAGCTGACCGACATCATGCAACACCAGTGTCAGACATCTGGTGTGGTTTACAGCATTGCTCAGAAGGAAGAAGGAGTGACGCAGTCGTTTTGCGCGACCCTCTCCTTCATACAGAGCTCCGGCCGCGCTTTGCGCGCTGGCTCACGATGCAGTTGACGGAGAAGTTGACGTAGCTAGAAGGCTTATGGGAGGGTTTATATGGGCCTAAAGGTTGTCGCTGTCATATCTCGGCTCGCCAGTAGTTCTACCCGAAATTTTACATGCTGGCTGCGAGATCGACCTGACCTCTCGCGAAATTTTATGCCTCTGGGGACCAGGAGCCCCCCGCATACGCTTCGAGGATGCTGGACTTTCTCGATGCTCCACCGAGAGCGTCGCTTTCGCATGAAAAAGACCGCCGACACGCCACGTTGAGGACGCCTGCGGAAATTAGCACGTCGAGTCCCGGCCCTTCGATGGAGACGCAATTGCAGTTTGTGGGAACAACCCAAGAGTTGCCCATGGGCATCGCGGGGACGTGCGTTATTCTAATACACCGTACTCCAGTTCCACGCCGATGCCTCTTCAGCCTGCCTTCCGCCAGCTCGTGACAACAGAAGAGAAGTGTTGGGTTGCAGTGAGGAAATCGGCCTCATCTGGATGGAATGTTTCTGGATCGATTTGCACCCACCCACACCTCGCTATCGTCGTTGTAGTAACGATGGAGAGGTACTTGTGTAGGATTCGTTGGTTCGATGGCGTCTTCGACGAATCCTCCCGGCTGTCTAAATCTAATCTTCCCCTATCGATTTTGAAAGTATGGCTTTTGGCTTTGGTAAATTTACAGCCGAGATGACCCTTCAACGGGTCTAGAAATCTCTCGAACGAGGCCGGGTCGACACCGTCACCCAGAGTGGGTGTCACGAAGGCCCCTTCATCCGACGGCTGATCAGGGAATTCGCATCCACAGTGCTGTGGCCGAGATTCAAGGACGAGAAGGACTAGTTCCTCCCCTCGAATGAGGTTGCCATGATGGGCTCGATGTTATCAGGCGGATCAGGGGACAACAGGGTGCTACCGTGGGACAGCAGCGCCACCAGTGCGCGAGGCCAGCCCGATGGTTTCCAGACAGGTGGCGATATGGGAGACTGCGCGTTAGGTCACCATTCTATCTCGCAGAGCGGATACGTCGTGCATCCCCATCCGGCCCGACGGCCACGATGACCATCCCTGATGTTCGTTGGGGCGGGAATGGTGATGATGAAGGAACGTGATCACCACCGAACATGGCCAGTTGGAAACGGGAAGACATGGCTGGAGAAGTCCGGGCTGAAAGCAGACATTCATTCCAACGGTCCAAAGAGACGACATTTTCGCCAATGGCGCGCCATAGAAGTACGACGCACGTGATTGGTCCAAGCGCAGGGAGTTGAAGGATTCAGTGCTCTGTGGCCAAACCATTGTTCGAGGACAAGTGTGTGTGGACACTGCCACACTATTCCACCACAGAGAACAACGGCGCAAAAAAAATGACGTCCATTTGGATCAACATGTGTGGCTTTGGAGGTGTACGGTAGTTAGTGCTAAAAATATCTGCACTCCGCCTTTGGTGGGACTGACTGTAACTAAATAGTGTTAACTTACATGTTCCGTTTTGAATTCCGACCTCTTGGGATAATGTCCTCGCTGGAGACAGTCCTTTCTTTTCAATTATTGACGCAGCTAGTCGATCTATTTTCTCACCACTTCTGGGTGGTTTCGAACGCCCGTCTCCCGTAAAATTCGTCCTCTCGATCAGAGTGTAACACGCCGCGCTTGCGGTAGCAATAAAGAGAGGAGGATGAGGCGCCGGTCTCGGACGCGAACCCGTCCCAAGGGAACACGGAGTTCGTCGACCTCTCAGTCATATGTACGTGTAACCCGATATTTACAGAAATCGATTCGGAATTTATACAGCAGTACAGGATCAGAATCCTGATCTTTTTCACCCCGCAGTCGCGGGCGTTCTTGTACAGTATCTAGTTAATATCGCAACCACTAATTTATCTTCTGGATTGGCCACTGGGACGCTCTGCCTGGAAGAAAACGACCCTGTTTGCGGTCCGTTTCGGTCCCTTCTCCTTTACCCTGCCTCCGGGAGGTAAAATGCTCCATCGTAGCCCAAAAAGGTGCTTCCCTTCCCTTCTTGTCAGTCCAATAGTCCTCTTCGGTGCTCATTTTCGATCCCTTCACCGGCCACGCGGCATGCCCGGGTTTTCAAGAGCATCCATGGAGAATGGGGAGATTTTGGCGACCGATCACCTAGTGGACGTTGCTGTTTTCGTTGCCCAATGGTACCTCGGCCATTATTCGATGTTCTAGGCGGGCGGACATATAATTCCAGCCCACTGCCGGATGATCTTAAGTGGTCACGGAGGGGTTGTAGCATCCCGCTCATTACTCGGAGGGTCTGTAATTAGTGGCGTCCCAACCAAAGCCTGGCCGCGAGAACAATTTACATCTCCGTCCGGGAAATGGTCGCCCAAAGTTCATCCAGACAGCTCAAATGGCATTCACTGTTGTTGCTCGGTCCCATCCCAGTGGTGTTCTCTCTGTCGTCCCACTTGCGCCTCGATGGGTGCATCGAGGTAGGTAGCTTGACCAAGCGTACGTGGGCGAACTCGACGGTCACGATCGCCGACCCCAACCCCACGACAATGAGCCAGTCTATCAGCCTTGCCGGGGAATCGGTGATCACTTCCATCCTGTCCACAACGGCCCCTCTCTCGACAACCGCGCCGACGACGTCGGTCTCGGTTTGGACCGTGGCGGATGGCGACACCGGTGAGGAGATTGCCTCCGAAGTGGGCGTGCCCTTCGTGGTCATCTCCCAGGCGAATCCGACAGCGGTCTGGACGGCACTGTCGATCGGACAAGTGCTCGACATACCGCCCTCTCCGACAGGGGTTCCCACCGTCACCGGCAGCGTGGCGGGAGGGCTACTCGACCTGGACGCCGGATCGACCAGTCCTCAAACCACGTATGTGACTTATAGTGGAGACGGATCTTCCCAGGACGGCTGGCCCGCCGTTGATCGGTGGCTGGCCTTCAGGGCGGCGTTCGAGAACGTGAGACCGCATTTGGGTCAAGACTGTGTGGGCGGTGTGGCCGGAAACACTGAGGATGAGACCGACCAGGTAGGCCAGGCCATCCTGTCGGTCGCACAGGTCGCCCAGGTTGACCCCCGCTTCATACTCGCTGTCGTCATGCAGGAGTCGACGGGATGTGTCCGCGTGCCGACGACGAGCAGTGTCCACCCCAACCCGGGCCTGATGCAAAGTGACCAAGGGTCAGGGTCGTGCAATGCCAACGGGACGGTCAGTCAACCATGCCCTTCGGACCGAATTCGACAAATGATCTATGACGGCACGGCGGGCCGGGTGGGCTCCGTCAGCCTCGTGAGTACCCTAAATCAAGCCAGTGGCATGGGTTCCCAGGAGCTCGCGCAGGTCTACTACCGGTCCGCCCGACTGTACAACTCCGGACCCGCCAGCTTGGACACGACCTTGGCATTGGATTCGGGCGGCTCGACGAGTTCATACGCCAGTGACGTCGCGAATCGCCTGTTGGGGTGGATATCGGGGCACAGAACTTAGCATCAGTTTGACACAGAGTACGGAGCATGGGTAATCGGTGGTCCTCGGCTTTTTTTTTTGGCTCGGTAGGCCGTACCTTCCGGACTAAAAGGCAAAGTCTGCGGTGCCCCGTGCAGTTTTAACATTGACCCTCTGACACGAATGCGACTCACCCGTCAGGTTGCGGAGCTCGGCTTTCATTACTGAGGAAAGGCTGTACACCGTATTCCGTATAGTCCGAGTGTTAAATTTGATTAGTAGATGAAACGCTTGGCCCGTGGAAAAGGACGATGTGGATAAACTATGCAAAAGCATACCAGTGGCAGGGTAACTCTCAACCTTTCTAACTGAGGACATGCGCGAACCTAAATGCCTGAAATAGACCATCTATACTAACCATGCTGCCCCCCAACTAAAGAAAGGGATGGACAGTGGTGGTGTAGATAGACAGCCTTTGATGCTTTGCCTGCCATATTGCTTAAAATAGACGATTTCCCTATCGTAACTTAGGTCGATTCGTCCGGGATTGCCCTACCGCTCTGCTCCTAGCACCTCTCTTCCCCTCAATGTTGATAGGTCCCGTGTCCAGGAAGCCCGCCCAGCAGTCCCCTTGGATCGACCTGGGTCGCGGTGTCGTCGTTGCGAATGTCGTTGGTCAAAAGTTCAGAGCACCCTTCGCGAATGGTTGAGGAAACAAGAAGCGGAATTCCGAGCGAGAACTAAAGTAGAGCGAGATGCTGCCTCATCATTCTATGAGTTAACAAGTTCATTGACGCCTAGGCTACGGTACCTGGATGAGTCAACCTTAGGCAGGAATTAGAATTCTGGCAGCGGTTACAGTAGACAACACCCCATTCTCATTTTGTATCGCAGCCATACTAGGCTCCCGGTTCGTTTTGAGCAAGAGCCACAGCCCACCTACACCAACATCTCTAAGGATAAACTGCAGGGAGGCGCAATGAAACAGAAGTTGTTGAGACGACAAACTAGCTTAAAAAGAAACCCCGATTCAAAGATTTCCGTGCGAAGTTTTACCCAATCCAAGCGAGCCTCTACGCTAGTATAAGTTACCAGGGGTCATGTTCGTCTCATTCAAGAGCGGAATGTCCCTCCGGGAAACGGGTTGCCTTTAGCTTTAGCGTATGAGCCGCAGCCAGATCAGCCATAGATGAAGCGAGATGCGTGGTGGCAAAGCGCTTCGTCTTGTCATCGTAAGTCATATAACGGTTCAACTTTGTGAAAGTCAGTTGAAGTGGGTATGTTGCATATGGAGTAGACCTACCGACGCCAACTTGTGTCCTAGCCACAAGCACCGTTCGGCTCGAGGTGCCGCATGGCTGGGCATCTCGAGGGTGCGTTCGTCTTCATCTACAACCTGGCCATGGAAAAAATCGCCCGGGAAGTAATATGGAGACCAGACTAAGCCACGGATGAGAAAGTCCTCAGGGAGCTGAGGTCCCGTTCCGCTTTGTTGCTGAGGAAATTCTTTGGCCTCGATCCGGTTGTCAGAGACGCCCGAACGGCTCAACGAATTTAATGCCTGGACCAACTTGGCCCATGGAACGTAGTTTTCAACGAAAATTAGAGCGCCAGGTACGTATGATGAACTCCAGATGTACGCCAGCGTGATATGCATAAACGGAAGGATGTTGCGATCCCCAACCTTTTGCGCCACGATGGAAATGGAGGAAAACCAGATCGGAAGGATGTACGACGTCACCTCATCCGACGACTCGAATTTTGCTTCGGCCTTGTCACCTCCGTGGGGTCGGACCTGGCGGAATCCCTCGGTGTGAATGGGCCCATCCCGCCAGAACTTGGCATGGATCTTCTCCTTCAGTATGGGATCTTCAACAGGGTCAGGGTCAGATGCAAGAGCCTGGGGTTTATCATCATCCTGGATTCCTCTGATTTTCTCGTTGTTGGCCTGGAAGGATTTCCAGAGATGATTGTCATCACTGCCGAAATCATACATGAGTGCGATCAAGGATGAAGCAATCTCAGCTCCCATAACCTTGAAGTTGG